AGTCATGATATCTGAGATCTTTCTTCAGAGGCGACCACCAGACTTTGAACTTTGTAGAGTAGGTGGAACGCCCCCAGATAACACATCTTGAGCTGCCAGGAAACACCAAAGTGATGGATCCAAAGACACCCAGGTGAAGAGCTTGGGCACTGCAGATTCCTGTGGTCTAATGCAGGTCAGGGGCAATGAATCCACACTCATAATAAACATCCAAGCAATGGAGAGGCCTGTAATGGGAAGGCCACATGAGAATCACTGGGCCAGATGACTCTGGAGAGCTGAGCTTGGAGTCACATTTTCTGAAGAAGAAGGTTAACAAGGCTGCTTAACCTACCTTCTGATGCAGAAGAAATCGCAGGCACACAGAGGAGGTGGTGGTAAGAGCAGAGAAGGAATGTGGCTTCTACTGAGCCACCCAAGCTTGGTTTTCTGAGCATAAAGCTCCTTAGAAATTGAAGTGGCAGGCACTTCTCTTCTTTCCCTGGGACTTGGAGAGTCTGAAATGTGTACTTTAAAAGCTTGATTTGGGTGTTATGATGGTGGTGTCGATTTAATGACACGACATCATTGCTTCTTTGCTGTCCTGCTTTGCCTAGGCACCTCAAATGTGGGGGCAGTGAAAAGCACGGGGGGAAAATCACAGGCTTCTCTTCCTGCTCTCATTGTCCACTGAGACTCCAACTCTACTTCTCAGCCCAGTCCAGTTCTGACGTGGCTGTGTCCTCTCCTCTATGCCCACAGAATGGGTGCTCACTCACCCATCTGTCTGGAGGCCATACCGTCTTCTGATCATGACCAGTCACCCAACATTCCCACCTGACACAGGGAGACTTTTGATGCCTCATCTAGTCATCACCAACGTCGTGCACGCATCCCATGTTCAGATCTCATACCTGGCCTGGGCCTGGGCCTGCCTCTTGGACCAACATGGCTAACTTTAGTCCCCAGAAGAAAACGTCCCATCAGCATCTAGCATCTCCCTGATTGTACTCACATAACTTCTGACCTCTGTGTCTGGCCCACCCTGCCACTGGCTTGTAAGGCACTACAATGTCTCTTTGAAGTGGGAATTGTTGATTAGCTGAAGTTGGGACATAGTCTGCAGGCTGAAGTTTTAGGAAACAGCTGATAAGCACCCTCAAGGCCACAATCTCCCTGATTCATGTGTTCCCAGATGACTGTACCCCTTGCTTGAGATAATAAATTCTCTGTAACCTGGTTGCTTAAGTCTCAGACTGTGGAGAGCACTCTCCCTATGCTTGCTGGCATAAATGAAGAACTTCCCTCTTCCTCTCGGGGTGCTGCCCACTGCCCCGATGGACTCTGCCTAACATCTTCAGCCCAGATGTTGTCCCTGTCACTCCTGAGCTTCATTTCATGTGTTAAACTATATAAGCCCGGCCCTCCCTGGTGGTGCAGCGGGTTAAAGCACAGCACTGAGAAGTTAAAGCCACTTCCACATGAGTTTGATTCCCGCCTGTCCCAGAGGTGACCACATGGCGCTGCAGACCTCTCCTGACCTGCCCGCTGCTCCCCTCAGCAGTGTACTTCGTAGATCTGCCTGTTCTTCTCCCCACTCTGTCTCTGGTGAAGCCTCTCACCGCCCCTGAGCCTCTGGCCTGTACCCCAGCTCTGTATGCACAAATAAATAAATCTTTAAAAAAAAAAAAACTATATAAATCCAGGCCCTCCCTGATGGCACAACAGGTTAGGGCACAGCAATGCAAAGCTAGCCACAGCTACCTCATTACAAGTTTGATTCCCCCACCTGGGAGGTGACCCACAGGGTGCAGCAGACCTCTCCTGACCCGCTGCTCCCCTCAGCAGTGTACTTTGTCAGTTTGCCTGTTCTGCTCCCCACTCTGTCTCTGGTGAAGCCTCTTACTACCCCTGCACCTCTGGCCTGTACCCCAGTTCTGTATGCATAAATAAATAAATCTCTGTTACCTCTTTGAGTAAAGAAATGTTTATTCTCTGCTAGACGGAAGCCCTTTGTCCCGTTTGCGTCATTCTTCTCAAGGAGGCCCCATGCCTCCTTTTTAGTGTAGGTCTTATATACAATTTGGACCTCTGGTTTGTTGTTTGTTTTTTTTTTTTTTAACATAAGCCATAATGTCTTACTCTACTTGTGGACAAACTGAATGCAAAATCTTTCTGTAAAGGAAGTCCATGCTGATTTATTAACAAGGCTTTGTTAGCATCAGCTGGCTGTGGCCTCACTGACAATTGTACTTACTCTCCATTTACTGTGAAAAAGAATTAGAACCAACTCACTCAAACCAAAATCATCCACTTTGGCAGATGTCATCTAGCATTTAATTGGATTATGTAACAACTGCATAAAGTTCAATTAACCAGTTATCTTGGGATATATTTTCCAGCAAGATTATGTTGAAGTCTCTATCGGTAAGCTAAATTGCTTAAATTTAAACATTTTAGGAATGCTTTATTGAGATATTTTAATGTTCACTGAATCAAATACCTGCTGTAGAAATTTTTCTGCCTAAAATTATTAGGGCCAGAGGCTGTCCAGTAGAGTAAGGTAACAGTAATTGAATTCTGAGGAAAATATTAGCTCAGCCCACATCCCTGGGGAGTTGGGATGGTCTTCTATAATTAAGACATATCTCCTGACTGGATTCTTTGACTAGAAAAAGAATGTGACTGCTTCCTTCTGCTTAGCTGAATGTCAGGCTGTGTGGGTCTGCCCTAATTGAACAGCAGGGATATTTGCACTTTCATTTTTGTCTGAAAATGTATCTTTAATTTCTGTGCTTTCAGATGGCCATCAAAAGTCAATTAAGGTAATCAATATTCATAAGTAATTATCTCAAAGATTGGCCATTCATCCTCTTAATATTATGAAATTAATTTTTAACAAATCACATACTTTACTGCTGTCAACCCAGACCAATTTTGTCAAATTGTACTATGTTGGTATATAATGAAACTATGTTTAGGAATACAATACAAAATAATGTAGTAATAATAATAATGACAACAGACTGCTGTTTTGAGAGCTAATGCCTTGTCAGACACTATACTGAGAGCTTGATACACAAGATCTTATATATTTTATAACAATCCTTTGAGCTCATTATGGTTGTCATTCTTTACAGATAAGAATATCAAGACACAAAGAGATTGTGTTACATAACTAGGAAGTGGTTAAGCCAGGATTGAACCCTGGTGGCTGATTCCAGGACCTCTGTGCACATGTGCCTTCTTCTCTATGGTAACTGCTATGCAGGGAGCCCCACGTTTCACTTCCTTACCACCTCACCTGGAAGTGAAGGGCAGCAGAAGGTCAGCTCTGCAGGAAGCCAGCAGCCATCATGGGGGCCCGAAGGTTAGTGGCAGAGCGGTGGAGGTGGGGCTTGGCTATGTGGGACCTAAGCAGCTTGGGAAAGGGCAGTCAGTTATAGAAGCCGACTCTGGATCTCAAACTCTTTAGTTTTTCTCTTCAAATTGGGGTGACAGTAGAGTGAAAGCATGACCCCCACCACCACCACCACAGCTGGCTCCACATGAGTGGGGGTTCTCACCAGCGAGGGACTGTGCCTGCCAGCCAGAACCCCGACAGAAGACCAGAGGCCAGCAGCATGCTGTGGACATTTCATTTAGGATGGGCAGAGGTCAGTCTGAACCCACAGGACTCAGTGTCAGAGGGTCATCAGAGAAGTCGCAACGTCATATGCAGCCATTAAAAACAGCTCAAACTCACTCAAATTAGCAGGGCTTTATTGGCTCAACAATGTGGGCGTCTGGATGTAACTCTGCATCCAGGCACGGCTGACTCAGAAATTCAAACAATGTGATCAAAGCCCCACTGTGTCATCACTCCCTAGACTCTGCAGGTCCGAGCCTGTCATCTTTCTCCATGTAGTAAGCAAGAAGGCTGCTGACCATCCCAGAGTCCTCTCCACTTGGTTTGCCAATAGAAACATGTCTTTCTCCCCAAGTCCATGAGTCAATCCTTGGGAAGATTGCAAGTGATCCTGCTGGGAACAAATATCGCCCCACCCACCTTCACAAAGGGCAATGGGGAGCCCTGTGGTAGAGATGTGGGGTGGGTGAGGAACCCATGTGCAGTTTGAGAGCACTTTCCCAAAACATCCATTAAATAAAGCACTTGCTGTGAGCTAGCAAAAATATGATTATGCCAGCCTTTGCCGTAACGATTGCAGTAACTGGGCAGATGCTCTGCTTTACCCAGTAGATGCCACTGATGACCACTTCTGGAAGCTTTGAGAATAGAGGGAGTTGCACATGTTGCTGGGTTTTCATTTCAGAAGACAAGCTAGCATCACAGCTCTGACACCAAAGAACTTTGGACTCTAGGGAGAGCCCACCCTACTTTCTTTTAAACAAAACAAAAAAAGGATTTATTTATTTATGCATACATAACTGAGGTACAGGCCAGAGGTGCAGGGGCTGTGAGAGGATTCACCAGAGAAAAAGTGGGGAGCAAAACAGGCAGATCAATGAAGTACACTGCTGAGGGGAGCAGCAGGTGAGACAGGGGAGGTCTGCTGTTCCATGTGAGTCACCTCCGGGGCTGGAGATCGAACTCACACTGAAGAGGCTGTGGCCAGCTTGCAGCCAACACTTTACCTGCTGTGGCCCCGGGAGGGCCCCTACCCTACTTTCTAGGAAGGTATAAGGAATTAGCCAGAGCACATTCCCTTTAGCTTAGGGATAGACTTATCTTATCTTTTAAATAAATCATTTCTCCTTTCTGGTCCTGATTTTTCTCATCAAGATGAAGGTAAGGGTTTATGTCTAAACTCGTTTCAACTTAAAAAAAATTAAAATGAAAGCAAAAACAGCTGCAAATCTGAATCTTTGAGACAAGTTTTCCCACTGTCGCTCACAACCTCCCAAGGCAGACATTTAAAGTCTGTCCCTTGTAGAGAGGAGAGTAGAGCCAAGAAGCCAAGGGCAGTGTCCACATGTGGACCCCTCAGCATGTCTGAGTAGGGGGTCAAAAACCACAAGTTCTCACTGGCACGAAGCACTGCAGGGTTCAAAACAGGGCCGCAGGCCACAGCTGAGACCTGGTGAACACCTCCCCGTGTGCTTTATACTTCAGGGCCCGCCAGTTCAGGACATTAGGACTGAAGTTTCCACCAGCGTATATGGTGCTAATCTCTTCTGGTGACAGCACAGAGTCCCACATGTTCACATCTCCAATGTCTCCCACCAAAGACTGGCCTTTATCAAAGCTCCCACCGAAAGAATCCTGTTCCTGCCCTAGGACGATGCTGGCATCTGTCCCCACAGAGAACCCTTTATTCAGACTCCTCCTCACCCTGGGCTTCCCGTCCACCCAGAGCTCTGCAATCCCAGAGGCCGACTCCCAGGTGGCACAGATATGCACCGGGTCTGTAGGGACTTGAAGACTCGGGAATAAGACTTCATCCCCACCCACTGCAAATACATAGCCTCTCGTCTTAGACCAGTACACAAGGATTTCGTTGGGTTGCTTCTTGGTGGCGTAGGAAAAGATGCTGTAGTCACGGGCCACATCGGTGTAAGTGTACAGGCACACGGTGAAGGCGGTGAGTGGCTTCTTTAGCTCTGCCATCAGGATCACAAAGGAATTATCTGACTCTCTGGGCAACACAAAAGCTTTTTTGTACATGTCTGTAACACAGAAAACATAACAGACATGAGAGGTGGTTCAGATCCCAAAGAGCTTTCACACACAGCTAGAGTTGGAATTGAAAATAAATTGACTCTCCTCCACTAAACACACACACTCACACACACATATCTATCCAGATGCTCCCACCTGTCTGGCCAAAGGCACAGGAAAATCCAATCAAGACCAGGAACCAGCACACCAGCTTCTCCATAGTCACTCCTGGGTCGGGATTCACCTGCTGGTGCCTGCGTACTCAGACACAGAAGTCCTGGATGCCTTGCTCAAGACCTGTCCGATCCCACATGTATTTATACCCCCAGCAGTGGGCAGTAGGGAGTCAGTGTTACCCAGCAAATGAGGTTCCAACCCCACCTCCTGCAACTGTGTCCAGGGAAGGATGGGCAGCAAAACCATTCAGAACAGAGAAATCAATGTGGGTTATTTATTACCAAGTCACCCATTTTTTTGTGACTGAAGATGAAGACACTCCCAAGCACTCCACTAAGCCTATCTGTTTGCAGATTGGGAAATGGGGAAAACAAACAAGTCCTGCACGGAGACAGGACAAATTTTTCTTAGTTAAAAGAGTATGATAGTAAGAACTCCCCAGTCCAAGGAAAGGTGTCTGCTCACAAATGTGCCATATGTCAGCACTTCAGACAGCTGCTGTCTATTTTTTTCTGCTCTCCTGGACTGCAAACCTCTGGAAAGTGTTACTGACAACTTCCACTTCCCATTTCCCGTCCCCTCCCAGTCCATGCTAGACTCCATCAAATAGTGTTTTCTAAACATGTACAGCTTATCAGTAGGTCCACTTGATATAAATGGAAAACTGATCAAATATGGAGCTTTAGGCACCTAGCTACTTCTCTTATGTCAGACTCTGAGTGAGGCCAAGATGACTTGATCATCGACATATAGATCAATTGGTAGTCAAACATCACAGCTCAAGTGGTCCCAAGGTCAAGAAAATTATGTATGTAGATTGATGCAAAACCAGCAGTTGCATCTCTCTTAAGAGAAAGAGGAAACATTTAGACCTATAATTTATGGATAATAGCATTACCTTCCTAAAAGGCAAAGCCTAGCACAGAGTGGGGCTCAACAATGTTAATGGGTGAAATGATGAAGAAATACTAAGGAAATGAAGAAAGGGATAGCAGAAAAGAACAGAGAGGTTACATTTAATTCACAGTGGACTGCACATGAGTACCAATATCTTTATCCCAACTCAGTTCCTACAAATGACAGAACACATATTATTTGAAGGGTAAATTAATATAAGACCAAGAAAACAAAGAACAAGTTCAAGAGCAGAATAAAACATGGGGGACCCAGAAAGCAGAACAATTATGTGGCTAGAGGAAGTCTTAACCCAAGATGTAGGCAGCGGTGGGCCACAATGAAAAGGTGACGTGTTTCTGAGGTGCTAGAGAATAGTGTGAAGAACACCGAGTGGTGGAGAGAATGATTAGAGAGTCATGCACTGTCCCTAGCTTCTTAGTCAAGCATTCAGACCAGGGGCCATGGCCTGCCATAGAGCAGTGAGAGATAGAACGCAGCTCCAGGAGGCAAGACACACCAAAGGAAGCCTTCAGCTCCCACATCCAGAAGACAGGTGACTGGCCCATGGGCCCCATATTCCTCAGAATGGCTGGTGGCATCCACCGGCAAGCGGGACGAAAGCAGGCAGTGGAAGGGGCACCCCTCAACAAACACAGGAACACTCCTGGTAAGAAACAGAGTTAGTGAGTGCTGAAGTTATTTGTTGCAAAATATAACTATAATATTCAGAGCATGTAAAGCACAGGCTCTAAAAGACAAAAACTGTATGGCTCAAAACTATGTTCGTCAAAGAAGACATTTCAGAAGAAAGCTTGGAGATTGGAAGTAGGAAAATAATCAAAGAAATAACAGAGACCTTTCCAGAGTGAATGACAAGTGTGATCAAATCAAAAACACCACCAAGTCCCAAGAGGACTGCGTTAAATAGATCTGTGTCTAGCAATGACCAGGAGTTTGACAACCGGGATAAGGAGAAAAATGGGAAAACCTTCAAGTAGCTGCATATGCTTCTTAGAAAGGAATAAGAATCAATGAATGTTGAAAACTGTCAAGAAAAAGAATAGAACTTAAGAAGAATAAAACAAAACAAAGCTACCTGACATTTTAACAAGTTAGCACAACAACCCAAGCCAAAATAGTACAAGAAAAGAAAACGTAGGATCAATCTTATCTATGACCAGGAATGAGATTGATGCAAGAATCCTACATAAAAGATACACAAGTCAAATCAAAATACATTTTACAAATCTTTAAATATCACAACTCAGGAAAGCTATTCAGCAAACAAGACCAGGTAGATACAAGCTCACACACCCACTGGACACCCATTTTCAGGAACACTCGGCCTCCACCCTGCCCCACCCCCCAGCCATTCTAAGGCGGCACTCACAGTCCGGCAGGGAGAACAGACTCTGGGAGTAGAACCCTCCCCTCCCTCCCCTCCCTTCCCTCCTCACCCTACCTCTCCACTCCCCACCACCCCGCTCCTTGAACATGGTTCCTGCGGTGTGGCTTCTCCCTGCTATGGTGTGAGTCAGTGATGCAACAGCAATGTGACAAGACAACATAGAATTCATAGAATTACTGGGGATTGGGGGAAGCATCAATCTTTCCCCTGGAGTGGCTGGCACCCAGGGTTAAACTGTAACTTTCGCTAAATGCCTCTACAAGTAGAGAAAGGATGAGCCAAGAAAACACTCATGGCAAGCCAGCCATGAGTGGGGAGCCATAAGTGGGGAACCTGCCAGCCCCCACCCCTCACGCCACTCACCCATACTCCCATCCCCACCCTCCATCCCCCACCACCTTCCCATCACTACCACCCATACACACCACCCTATCCCACCCCCAGCAGAACTCTGGAGTTACTCCAATCTTACAGTTACATGGACAGGTACCTGAATGGTTCCCATGGGAATTAATTGGGCCAGCACTTTGGGGAATGGGCTCCTGAGTGTCAGTTATAGTATAATTAATATTTGCCTCCCAAGGGTTCTCCTCAGAAACACAGGGAAGTTTGAAATCAGAACCATCAATGTCATTCATACCACTCAGAGATTTTACTAGCAACATCAAGTGATCACTCCAATACAGACCACCAAAATTTAGAAAATGCAGCACTTGTCCATCCGTTGTGAAATTTTAAGAATAAATAATATTAAAAACCTATGGCAGGCCCTCCCTGGTGGCACAGCAGGTTAAAGCACTGCACTAAGAAGTTTAAGCCACTTCCCCATGAGTTCGATTCCCACCTGCCCCGGAGGAGATCCCCATGGCGAGGCAGACCTCTCCTGACCCGCCCGCTGCTCCCCTCAGCAGTGTACTTCGTCAATCTGTCTGTTCTGCTCCCCACTCTGTCTCTGGTGAATCATCCTACCCTCCACATCTCTGGCTGTACCCCAGTTCTGTATGAATAAATAAATAAATCTTCAAAAAAAATCTGAAATATTAAAAAAAAAAACCTATGGCAAATATCATACTTAAAATGAAATTTGAGAAAGTTTCCTTTAGAGTCAGGGGTACAGCCAGATGCCCTTGCCAGCCCACTGCTTTGTCCACCCCAGTGCAGAGGACAAGGAAAAAAGTGATCTGGTGAGTGAAGAAGTTACAAGGATATATGCACATGGCTGCCCATGCTAAAAATCAAAGAAATCTACCCACCAACTATTAGAATCAGCAGGAGTTCAGCATTTGTGTTCGTATGAGATAATCATCAAACACATTTAAAATGTTCCTTTCCCACAGCAGAAATCACTCAGGAAACACGGCATGTAACAGCACACACCCACATCACATCTGAAAGTTAGCCTAGTGGAATAATTAAAACATTAATTAAAAATTTATAAAATATTGGCCCTCCCTGGTGGTGCAATGGAGTAAAGCACAGCACTATGAAGTGATCCGCAAACATTGGCGCAGGAGTTCAGTTCCCGACCAGTAAGGTGACCCACATGGTGTGGCAGACCTCCCTGATCCACCCACTGCTCCCCTCAGCAGTGTATTTCAACCAGCCTGTTCTGTTCCCCCGTCTGTCTCTGGTGAAGCCTCTCAACCCCCACACCTCTGGCCGGTACCCCAGTTCTTTTATTCATCAATAAATAAGTCTTTTTTTAATCTATAAGATATTATCAAAGGGCATAAAATGAATAAATGGGAGAGCTAACCCCTCATCCATCCAGTGACCCAAAATCATAATACCACTGCTCCCCAAATCTACGCATATGTCCCATTAACTATAATTCATATAGAATAAACTCATATCCTATAATTCAGTCATCCTTCCAGGACTGTAAAAACTATTTAAAAAAAAAAATCTCCCTCAGAAAGATGTCCAAGAAAATTTGTCACAGCATTGTTTGAAGTTGGAAGCAGGAGAGGAGAAATGCAGATGTGAGAAATGCATATTCATATGGAGGAATAGAATTCCTCCATGAAAGAGTGAAATGATATATTACACCCTCCTGTGCAGCAACACAAGTGTGTGGAGGCATATTTGGCCGCAAGTGATTGGCAAACAAGAGAATGGTGTCACACGATGCAGAGGTCAGTCACTCGCATGCCATCTTCCCTAACAGGCTAACACGTGAAGCAATAACGAAAAATCCTTAGTAATCGATGAAGATCTTAATGAAAAGGCTCAAAGCATCAGTGAAGCAGCAGCTGCTTGGTGGCTTCAAGCTCAGCTCACACTCTGCAGCATTCAGCTCTGTCATGATGCCCTAAGTGCTAATGAAAAAAAAAATTATTGATGATTAAGTGATCAGATTTTAAATTTTGATGATTCCAACATCTATTGGAAGTGATAGCCCTCAAAGATACACTTCTCCGAGGAGGCCAGAGAGCCCTGGGCTGAGGCTGCAAAAACATTGAATCTGAAAAGCACTGGGATGCTAATCACTTTGTTGGGATTGCACAATTGATGTTAGTGCTCCGGTGTGCTAGCATATAGGTTTGGAGTTGTCTGCCCCTAATTATCTATGGTTCTAGTTATCCCACAGTGCTGCTATTTTTAGCACACAATTATGCAGAACATGAGCATTTTCAGGAATGCATATATCACATGATACCCAAAAGAAATGCCTGCATTTCAAACAGGGTGAATCTTAAAACAATGTTGAATAAAAAAGGCAGGTGATAAAAGCTATT